GTTTTACAAAATGAATTCCATGATGTTTCAGGCGCTCTCAACGCTCCCAAGCGCTCCCAAGCGCTCCCAGGCGCTCCCAAGCGCTCCCGAGCGCTTCCAAGCGTTCCAGGCGCCCCCAAGCGGTCCCAGTGCTCCCAGGCGCTCCCATGCGCTCTCAAGCGCTCCCAAGCGCTCCCAGGCGCTCCCATGCGCTTCAGCCGCTCCCAGGCGCTCCCAGGCGCTCCCAGGCGCTCCCAGGCGCTCCCGAGCGCTCCCAGGTGCTCCCAAGCGCTACCAAGCGCTCCCAGGCTCTCCCAAGCGTTCCCAAGCGCTCCCGGACGCACCAGACGCTTCCAGGCGCTCCGCCCCATGCGCCCCCAAACGCTCCCATGCGCCCCTGGCGCTCCTAAGCGCTCGCAGGCGTTCCGAAGCGCCCCGGGCGCTTCCAGGCGCTCCCGGGCGCGCCCGAGCGCTCCCGGGTGCTCCCAGGCGTTCCCAAGCGCTCGCAAGCGCTCCCAAGCGCTCCCAGGCGCTCCCAGCCGCTCCAAAGCGCTCCCATTCGTTGTACTTACAACGAGGGGAGAGATGATCTTTATGGTAGGGTGGTTTGCGGGTGGGACTGGCGGCCACCGCAGGTGGGCTCCTAGGCAGGAGGGGATCCCTGTACCCTAAACCCTAAAGCCGTAGCTGGCGGGTCATCCCGCTTGCCCTGGCCCCCATTGGCACCTTCGCGAGAAGAAGCAGGCCCCCCCGCAGAGGAGGCCGCTGGCGCATCGCGTCGGGCCTCGTGGCATCCCCGACTGCAGCGCTTAAGCCGGTGCCCCCCCATCTAGGTTTTCCCAGTCCTTCGCGACGAGCTCTGCCTAGGCCTCATCTAGCGGCTTGTGGTCCGCCTTGGTCAGGTGCATGCGGCTGGGGTTGCAGCTCGGGTCCACCTCGAGACCTTCGCCACCCCCGTGAACCAGACCCATGGGGTCTCCTCGAAGTTGGGGCTCCTCGAAGGGCGCCATCGGGCAATTCGGTCTGCGGTCCACGAAGTGCTCGTCCACAGACCTCCTCACGGCGCGTCTTCCGATCCGCAATGATGGCTCTTTTGATCGGCCTTCCTTGTCAGCGCATCAACTGTCTTGGTGCCGCCTCTCCTGTTGGAGCGGATGATTTTGCCCGTTTCTTGGTCCGGCTGCACGCGCAACAATGACCAACGTTGGGGGGCTCGATGCTCGGGCCAGCCCTGTGACCGCCAGTGCGTCATATAATCACCTGGTATCTGTTGGCGAGCAGCGCCATCGTTCTCTTCGCCAACTTACCTGAATCGAGGCCGGCCTTCGGGCTCGTCTGAGCCCTCGCCATCCTGATGCGGGTTGCCCCGCGACCATGCCCTTCCTGGCGATCCTCTCGGATCTCGTGGACGCGGGCGCCGCGCGCCGCTTGCGCGGGCGCGCGAGTGCCTGCGCGAATGACTCCGCCGGCAATGGCGCGGCGGATTGCTCTCAGCTTTCCACTCCTCGCCATCATCCTTAGCGCGCCCCACGCGCCTCCAAGCCCCGCGGCTCGAAGGGCGGCCATGTAGCACACAGGTGGCGCGAGAGCCATCACTGTGTCCGAGCTCGTGCTGGACCCGCTCAAAAAGGTCACCAATGTCGCGCGGGTCGCCCCTTAAAGGATCGCCGTTGCAAGCTACCCTGCGCGCAGGGCCCCCAATCACCTGCGGCCTTCGGTCGGGGCGACACTCGAAGCTCCGTCTCCGCAGCCGGCATCGCGCCATCATCATAACTATCCGGCTCGCGCCCATCGGAGCACGCAGGCGCCCCCGCCATCTCGCAGTCCGAGTCGGCGGGCGGCCAGCGCTCCTCGATGATCTCCACGCGCGCAGGTTGCCCCGCGATCGGGGTGCCCAGCCAGTCTGCGAGATCGATCTCATCGCGGCCAGCGTAGACCTCAGCGAAGAGCTCCTCGGCGCACCGCTCGAGGGACACGCTGGCGCCCATGCGCCTCGCAGACGCGAAATGGACAGCAGCTGCGGGGTTGTCCTCTGGTTCGCCAAGAAGGACTTCGAAATCGACATACTGAAGGTCGGAATCGGTTTGTGCCAAATTTTCCGACGGACCCCTGCCCCCCCCGTCGCCGCGGGGGCGCTCGCGACAAAAATGGTGAATGCTATGGCAGATAGCACATTCCGTGGTTTTCCCGTCGGCATCCGGGTTACCCCGATGTCCCTTACCTTTCCCCGAGTAGGGCCTACGGCCTCTACCCTTCCCTGGGAAGACTTCCCCATGCTGCGGTCCCGTAAGGGAGGCCAGGAGTGTCCGCATATCTCTACCATGTAACCTTCGTCGTTCATCCTTACCTCTACCCTTGCCCGTTGGCCTAAACGCGCGTCGAACTGCACGTCGTGCCGTTCGAAATGGTTTCTCCATGAAAAGTCCCCATCGGCGTGTATGTTTCTGGCGGCCCAGCAATATCCATTGCGCCTGTTGCTCTTCGGTGAAGTGCGCGGGCATATCGGAATAATCCAGATTAGAAGCTCCTTCGTCGGACGAGGGGCCAGCATCGGTGCCTGAGTCAAAATCGGACTCTGCTGCCCCGCCGAGCCCGCGAGGGCAGCGGCTAGGGCAGGGGCCGCCGTTGCCGACGGCCAATGACATCGAGCCCAGAAATATTGCGACCCCATGGGCTGACCACCTTGCTGACTTCATAGAGTGGTGGCCTCGTCTGGTCGCGGGCCGCCATTCTCGGCGGCGCTGGCAGGTTGCCCCGCGTGAGTGCCACAAATAAAGACATCGGCGCGGTGGCCGCGGCTACGTGCACCGCCGATGTTGCCGGGGGGTCACTAAGCAATTTGGGCGCAAGTCCTCATGCGCCCCAGTGAGGAGTCGAACTGTTCTGGGTCCTTGGCATTTGGCGATTCAGTGGTTGTAGGAGTTGCTGCGCACACGAAATACCGACACCTAGGGCCCTGAACAGCGTGACTGTCTGTCATGGCCTGGAAGTTTGGGATGTTGAACCCCGCGGCGTCAGCTTCGAAGCGTGCGATCTCGAAGCGGGCCAGCGCCTGGTCGATCCGGTCTCCCGCATGGACGCGAAAGTCAGTGAGAGCCGTCGCCGGATTTGGTTGTCGTTCCTCTTCCAGGTTCTCAAACTTGGTGCTGAGGAGGAACGCTATGTAGGTGGCTCCATCGGTGTGGCGCCCACCAACGTTCAATCCAAAGTTGATTACTGCGGGGGGGCTCTCATGGCTATGGTCTTTGCGAGACCTCCAAGGCCACGCTGTAAAGCGGCGGCCTCTTGGGAGGGAGTCGTAGCGCCTGTGGTTACGTGGATCCAGGCATGCACCTCGCGAGCGAACTCGCGGGAAGGTACGTTACCGGCAGGGCCCCAGTGAGGGCCGGCAGTGCGCGCGCCGTCTGCGCCACGCTGCATATGTCCAACAACGCATGTGATGGCGACCCAGAGGAGGCCAAAGATAACGATGCCACACCAGTGGCCCTGTAGGTCGGTATCGGTTGTACGTGGCTGTTGGTAACGAGGTGACGTTGCCGTCAGTTCGCGAGGAGGTGCAGGCGGCGCGATGGCATCACGCATCTTACCATGCGTCGTATCTTCGAAGAAACTGCCGATTGGCGTAGGTGGGTGGACTCCAGGAGTGTGGTAGCGCAGAAATGCAGGGCTCAGGTAAGAGACCTCTGCGTGAGCAGAAGCAGCAGTGCAAGTGTCATTGCGATGGTATAGGGCTCCTCCACGCAGAGCCACTTGACCCTGATGTTCCACCATGTCGGTAGTCCACCAGATAGTGCCGTGGATAGCAAGGAATAGAGCTAGAGCTGACCACCAACGGCAAGCTCCGCCACCAAGTATAAACCTGATCGGGAGGCCCAACCAAATGTTAAGCCTAAGGCGAAACATACGTCCAACCCTGCTGTATCGTCTTAGCGATGGTGCCAGACGTAGGAAGGAGCCGCGTGAGCGGCGATGATACATCTCAAGAGTAAAGGGTGGAACTTTTTCTGTCTCGATGTAAGGTAGCGGGCCGCGGTGCGGCCCAGTCAGATAGGTGGCCAGTCACTGGGCCAAAATGGCTGCGGACAAACGCTCGATACATCTCGCCTTTGACCTTCCTCCTTCAGAGTAAAGCAGCCCAAGATAATACAAACCTTGCAACATGCCTCCAGTAGGGACGCAAATTACGGACCCCAGGAGTGCCTCCAAGGTGTCCTAAAGAGGTCCCACCAGGCCGCCATGCCCCAAGAGAGCCCAAGAGGGCCGAATGAAACCCAAATGGCCTCCAAACTGGCCCCAGGAGGGACCCAAGATGGCCCAAGAAAGCTGTCAACCGGCTCCCGTACCGAAAGAACCGCGACTGCATGTGTAGGTGACTCCTGAGCCTGGTCAGGCTGATCCCGAACTTCGGTTCGACGGCTGCCCTCTCTCTTTGTTCCATTGCGTGATCCCACGCTTCCCTGATCTATGCAACTCGCCTGGGCATCGTTCCTAGATGGACTGGTGGGGATACACGAAGCCTCAATCATATTAAACAACTACAAGGATGGAAAGCGGATCATTGTCAATATGTGCCTCTCACCGCCAACTGTTGCGAAAATTGAGGGCGGGTGCTTTTCGAGACTCGGCTCTCGCCTGAGCGCAGAGCACATTCGTCCTGGAAGCTCTGATCAATTGAAAGCCTTGAGCCCTGTTCTTTTTCACAATGAATCTCTGGCGTCAGTCTGCTTCCTTAATTCAAGAGGGTGCGGTCTGGGGCGGTCAGGTCTATTGCATTTGCATCGTTACCGCATTCTGGATTTACTGTGGTCTTCGTCTTCCTGATCTTTTCCCTCCTCCTCCTCCTCCTCCTCCTCCTCCTCCTCCTCCTCCTCTTCCTCCACCCCGTCCGCCTCCGCCTGCTCCTCCCGCGTCTTGAATCTCCCTCTCCCATCGCGCCCCCCCGTCCTCGCCCTCCTCCCCCCGTCCCACCTTTTTCCCCCATGCTCTCACTGACCCCGAGGTTTGGGCCGCCAAGGGGCTGC